TGGCGAGGCTTTTTTCCTCTTTTCCAACATGTTGCAGTTCCCATATAGGTGGTCCCTATTGGCTGAGTTGGAGGGCTGCCACCCACCCATCCCACACCCTTCACACTAACTCAACCACATCGCTAGAGGGATTTCCCTCCAGGTCAAGACTTTTTAATAATGCAGAGGCCAGTATGTGTTTATTTTTCCAGTGGCCGGTCACTTTTAGGCTCGGCAAAGCGTTTTTTGGTTCACCTAATTAGCTTCGGAGGGACTGGTTTCGGCAAAGAAAAAGGTAAAATAGAGTAAGGCCCTATTGGCACTACGTCCATGTGACCCCTGGCCCTTAAGGCTGTATTGGCACTATGTCCATGTGGGCCCGAGCTTCAAGAGCAAAAAACACTGGGCCATAGGGGCTCGCCACACAGCCTTTCGAAACACGAAAAATGGACAGTCCATCTTCGCCACACAGCCTTTCGAACCAACTCGCACTTTTCATGTGTCGAAAGGTGTCAGTCCGAATGCATTCGAAAGGCATTTCGAAGTGGCCCTTCCATGTTTGGAAAGGCATTTTGAAGCGAAGGGCTGGAGGCGGATTGCACCAGTTTCGAAAAGATTGGAGCAAGAGGGAATTTTTGGCTTCAGTTTCCCCCGAAGGGAAATTGGTTATTGCTAAGTGGTTGTGTTAGACTCATGATTAGCTATGCCGTTTGCAGGCTAACGCAGTATCATGGAGTCTGATGTGGGGCTATGGCTGTATTAGATGCTGAAGTCCAGCCCCACCCCACCCTGCCTTTTTCAGAGCTTCAAGGTTTAATTTTGAGAAGCATTATGTTACAGAGCGGTCAAGTGAATAAAGGACGCTGGACCCGGTTTCCAGCATGAGTTCCATTCCGGGTTGAATTGTGGGGTCCCCAGCCCCCGTTGCGCTTTGATATTGGAAATAAAAGTCTTCAGCTTCTCAAAAAAAAAAAGAAAAAAAAAAGAAGTGGCCCTTCCCTCCCGCCTTCACGGCCCGAATCTCAAACGCCTCAATCGGGTCTTGTGAAAATGGGCCCTCACGATGACCATCTGTCAGGGTCACTACCCTGACAACCACCATTTTTGTCGGGGTGTGCCCGCTTGCCACGAGGGCAGTACAATGACGGAATCCGAAAAGACGAATGTTTCCAAAGTCTGTGTGGCGAAGGGGGGGGTTCTTTCCAACGGTAGGCTTTCGATTTTCATCTGACAACTCTTTTTTTTTCCCCTTTTTTAAAGTTTTTTTTTAATTTCCTCCTTCCCCTTTCCCCTTCTCCTTTTTTTTTTTTTTTTTTTTGGGAAAGCATTAACATTTATTGCAAATAACATGGGACCGAGGCTGGGGACCTCACAATTCAACCCGGAGTTATCCTGGCAGCATTAGCCAGTTTAGCCAGTTTAGTTTACGAGCGAAGCTCGGACCAAGATTGACAGATTTAACATGAAAGCATCTCTGGAAACCAGGTCCAGCGTCCCATATCTACGAGAATACTCTCCAAAAAAAAAAACATCATCTTGAAGCACGAAAAGGGTGAGGGTCCTCCCAACTTAAGGTAAGTCCCTCTCATTCACAAAATGTCAAAAAAGACTTGAGATATTCAACAAAGTTGTTCTGCTATCTGCAGGTCTCCATCCTAGGACCTATGTTTTTAGCCAGTCTGCCAGGCTCATCTTGCCTTCCTCGGTTACTGCAGCTAGATGATGTCCTATAGTCCAGACCTTGCCAGCCCAGGTTCTTCCTCAGCCTGATCTGGCTTTGCACTTCCTCCAATCAGCGGAAAATCGTAAAGCGCAGGCCCTCTTTAACCATGGCTATTTGCTGATGAATAGACCATACTTCTTTTCTGAAAACTTTAGCGTTCCTTGATTTCCACAGCACTTCCTGCACAACTCCCTTGCAGACCAACGCAGCGTACCCCCAGTCTTGCTCTAGCTTTTTTTTTTTTTTTTTTTTTTTTTTTTTTTGCCTTGCTCTAGCTTGGAGCCTTCTGGTGGAATGTTGAACAGGATCCAGTGGTCTGACCAATCCCATTTCGCCTCTGTCCATCTTTGCCATTGGTGCTTCCACCACTCCCAGAGCTCATCTGCTAGGGGACAATACAACCACAGATGCTCTGTGGATTCGCATCCCATCTAACAACTCTCAAAAAATGCCTCGGTTCGAAAGGCTATGTGGCGAGCCCCTTACTCCGTTCTCCCGCCCCCAGGATCCCGCTGCTATTCCTTAGTGATTGGTACTCACTAATTTCATTTATTTTAAAAAAAAAAAAAAAAAAAAAGGTGACACGTGCATCTTGAGATATTTACGGAGGGCCAACTTGCTGCACAAGCTTTTTGATTTGCACGTCAAATATGACTTGTAGATTAGAACGTGCCTCCATACAGAAAAGATTAGCATGGCCCTGTACAAGGATGACACGAATAAATCGAGAAAGAATCCAAAGGGGAAAAAAAAAAAAACAGGAAAGCTACAGCCTGATCATTTTTGTCTTTTCTGCATCTGGCGATAGGTGGGACGTTACTCTGACACTTTTCCTCATGGGGAATTTGCGGACGGCCACCTTACTTCACGAGTTTTCAGATCATCAGATGTGCAGGAACGAATCATTGGCAAGAACGCATCTTGGTACAGAGAAGATTAGCACGCCCCTGTGCAAGCATGATATGAAGAGAGGAGGGGGGGGGGGGGGGGGAGGGAAAGAGGTCAAGGGAAAAAAAAAGGAAAAGATGAAGGGGGAGAAAAAAGGAGAAACAACCAGAACATAAGGACGGGTCCGTCCTTCGGGACATCCGTTAAAATTGGAACGATACAGAGAAGATTAGCATGGCCCCCGCGCAAAGATGACACACATAAATCGAGAAATGGTCCAAAAAAAAAAAGGACGGGTCCCCCGCATTGAAAGACGGTTGCTCAGTGTATGTCCACTGCTCACAAGATCCATTCATAAAGAACAAAGAGGTTCGTAGCATGGAAAAAAAAGACGTTCGGCAGAGTGCTCTGGAGGGTACTGGTGGTTTAGCCGAATAGAAGGGTGGGCCAATGTACCTCTGTTTGTGCTTTTAGCATGAAGTGATAAGGGACGCTGGACCCGGTTTCCAGCTCAGCCTATACGGGGTAATGGCTCCAGTTTTGTTTTCTGGGTAGACTGTGAGGACCCCGGCCTCTGATTTAATTCAATATATATATCGTCAAATAGAATATTTTTAATACACGCATATATCGGGAAAAAAAACAACAACATATATAGTCAAACAGAGCTGCCCCGTAAACACCGTAGGCAGAGAGGGAGGTTGGCCTGCAAACCGCCCGGAATATACAAGAGGGCCGAATAGAGGTATATATTAACCTACAGCAGAATAAATGGAAGGATGAAGGGGGTCGGCATGGAAGGATAAACTAGGCCTCCGGCCCACACAAGTACTATAGGACAGATGTGCATTTAGATAGAATAAATGAAGTGTTTGCTACCGGAAAAAAAAAAAAAAGGGGGGTCGGCAATGAGAACCTACAAGCAGGGTCACACTCAAACCAAGGACCAGCGTATAGAGAATTGTCTAGAAAGTAGACCAGGTCCAGATTACCGTCTTCCCCCGAACACAACACACCCATTCGGGAAGAGAGCTTGTACGCATTCATGGGCCTCGCTGCACTACTCTCGGCATGCACAAAAGACAAAAATATTGGCGGTGCATCTTTCCATATTCTAGCGTAAGATTCACTCTCGTTTTGCACATTTCGAGAGTAGTGCAGCGAGGCCCCATGACTGGGGTGCTTGTGTTCGGGGGAAGATGGTAGTTTCTCACATACTTCCGTTGCCTCACGGTCACTGATCCGGCGAAGACAACTACCGTTCACCACCCAAGGAGAAAGGATCGGCATTATCCAGCTTTCTCTTTCAATATTATTTGTGCTTTCTTCAAGGACTCGACCCCTTGATCTAATTATCAACAGCTACATGTATGTACCATTCAGGTACCAGGCAGGTACCAGGCAGGTACCAGGCAGGTACCAGGTAGGTACCATTCAGGTACCAGGCAGGTACCAGGCAGGTACCATGAGCCATAGCTCGCTATGTCACGTGAGTAAAGACATCATACAGCCATAATGAACCAGTAGGCTTACGTAGGACTATTGATCCTCAGATTAAGAGTCCGAATCCCGAGCAGTTCATGATGTATGAACTACATAGTATAAATATCAAAATAAACAAACAAACAAGAAAGAAAGAAAAGCAGTCGTACAATCATCCGGGCAAAGAAGAGTGATATACTTGGTGTTTAGGCCGCTTGGCATATCGCGACCCACAGTTAATAGAACGATGTAAGAGGTTCGATTACACAGGACAAATCAAGGGTTGACCCACCATACTCACCTTTGAGTTCTTGAATATGCTCATGCACGGTCAGCACATGGGCTAAGATCGGAATGAGCTCTGCCAGGGACTCCCTGTCGAGCTGAAGGAGCATCGAACCTGTGATCTCGTGCTCGATGAACACCTCTGCATACTGTTGAAAACCCTTCTCCGTTAACCAGCTCGCAACGTCCTGGACCAGATCCAGCAACATTCACCACACGAGGCACACAAGAGGCAAACATTAATTACGTCAACGTCTACGTCTCTCTCTCTCTCTCTCTCTCTCTCTCTCTCTCTCTCTCTCTCTCTCT